CTCTGGTGACTGTGTGTGCCCCAAGCAAAATTAAGAAATCATAGTACAAATAAATAAAATTAAAATAATTTTGATAAAAGGAAAGAAATACTATGGGTGTTTGTGTGCACCCAAAATTTCAAGAGGAGAATGGAGGAGTAGGGATTGAAGCATGGGCATTTCCCCCTGGGAAATGATTTTTCACTTTTTCTTTCTCCCTGGTGAATGCATGTACCATATAGTGAAAAACTAAAAAAACAAACAAACAAACAAACAAACAAAATTACTAGAGGGTTTACATACTTACTAAAAAGAAAGGGAGAGAAAGAGAGAAAGAGTGAGAAATGGTCATGCCACAATCCCTTCACCTTCATTTCTCTATCCTGTTGAGATTTGGGGCATGCATGTAAATGCTGCTGGCATGTTTCCAAGCCACCAGGTCCAAGATTTGAATTGCAGTTGGCACGTGGAGTCTGGAATTCTTAACTACTAGGATGTGAGATTGGTCCTTTAAAATAATTGTATATATGTACACATATATATAATATATACATATATATATAACTATATTATATATATATAGTCTCTTAAAATAATCATATATATGTGTGTGTATGTATATATACACACTTGTGTATATATATATGTATATATACACACACTACACCCACCCACACACACACACACACACGCGCGCACTTATTTCCTTTTTGTTGTTGAATGGTATTCCACTGTATAGATATACCAGTTTTTTTAATCCATGCACAAGCCATGACATTTATGTTATTTGCAGTGTGGGGCAATCCTGAATCAAGCTGTTACAAACATTTGTGTATTGGATTTTAAGTGACTGTAAGTTGCCATTTAACTTGGGTAAATAAATACCTAGAAGTATGACTGTCGTGCCATATGGCAAATACATGTTTACTTTTATAAGGAACTATTAAACATTTTTCCAAAGTTAATGTAACATTTTACAATCCTTCCCACAATATATGAGGATTGCAGTTTCTCCACATTCTTGCTAGTATTTGGTATGGTCCAATCTTCTTAATTTTAGCCATTCAAATAGATGGGTCTTGTTACCTTTTCATAGTTTTAATTTAAGTTTTCTTAATGAGTATTATCTTTGAGCATCTTTTTGTGTGCTTATTTGCCATCAGTGTATCTTTGGTAAAAATACCTATTCAGATCTTTTGCTGATTTGTTAAATGATTGGGTTATTCACTTAGTATCAAGTTTTGAGAATTCTTTTTATATTCTGGACACAAGACCTTGGTCAGATATGTGTTTTGTTAATATTTTATGTCAGTCTGTAGTTTATATTTTCATTCAATGGACAGTGTCTTTCACAAATTAAAACTTTTGAGTTTTAATAAAGTATGCATTATTAACTTTTATAGATTCTACATTAGATGTTGTGCCTAAGAAGTCTTTGGATAACCAAAATCACAGAGATTTTTCTACTATAATTTTGTTTAGAATTTTTATGATTTTAAGTCTAACGTTTAGATGCATGACATATTTAGGTCAATTTTTGTATGAGGTGTAAGGTATGGGTTGAGGGATTTTGTTTATTTTTTCTTTTTTGGCATATGGATATTTAGAGCAATGGTTTGTTCCCACCAAAACTCAAGTTGGAGCTCAGTCCCAGTGCAGCAATGTTGGCGTAAAACCTTTAAGAGGTGAGGTCTAATGAAAAGTATTTGGGTCATGAGGGATCTGTCCTCAGGATAGTGAGTGAATTCTAGTTCTCCTATGACTGAATTAGTTCTTGTGAGAGCTGATCAGTTCTTGATAGAACAGGTTGTTATAAAGTGAGGTTGCCTGTCATATTTTATCTCTTTCATGATCCAATTTTCCTTCCGCTTCTTCACCATTTTTCATGCAGCTTGAAGCTCTTACCAGAAGCTGCCCAATGCAGTCACCAATCTTAACTTTCCCAGTTTCCAGAACCATGAACTAAGTAAACCTCTTTTCTTTATAAATTACCTTACCCCAGGTATTATGTTATAGCAACAGAAAGCTAAGGCATTCAGTAGCTATTTTCTTTTTTTGGAGAGGTTTTTGCTATAGGGCGCATGCACTCACCAGAAAGACTGAGAGAGACAGATAGATAGAAAGTGAGAAATCACCCCCGGGGGGATGGCCATGCCATATTCCCTTCTCTTCCATTCTCCTCCTGGGATCTTGGGAACACATACACACACGCCTGGCATGAGTTTAAGCCACTGGGTCCAGGACTTGAACTGTGGTCAACTACATGGGAGTCCAGCAACATAGCCATTATGCCAACTGCTGGTCCCATCTGTAACTATTTTCATAATGTCAGATACAAGGTGAGCAATGCCACAGTAGATGCTGCTTCTATGTTGATCAGTCACTCATCAACATTTTAGAAGCATGATATACCAGTTTTTTTAATCCATGCACAAGCCATGACATTTATGTTATTTGCAGTGTGGGGCAATCCTGAATCAAGCTGTTACAAACATTTGTGTATTGGATTTTAAGTGACTGTAAGTTGCCATTTAACTTGGGTAAATAAATACCTAGAAGTATGACTGTCGTGCCATATGGCAAATACATGTTTACTTTTATAAGGAACTATTAAACATTTTTCCAAAGTTAATGTAACATTTTACAATCCTTCCCACAATATATGAGGATTGCAGTTTCTCCACATTCTTGCTAGTATTTGGTATGGTCCAATCTTCTTAATTTTAGCCATTCAAATAGATGGGTCTTGTTACCTTTTCATAGTTTTAATTTAAGTTTTCTTAATGAGTATTATCTTTGAGCATCTTTTTGTGTGCTTATTTGCCATCAGTGTATCTTTGGTAAAAATACCTATTCAGATCTTTTGCTGATTTGTTAAATGATTGGGTTATTCACTTAGTATCAAGTTTTGAGAATTCTTTTTATATTCTGGACACAAGACCTTGGTCAGATATGTGTTTTGTTAATATTTTATGTCAGTCTGTAGTTTATATTTTCATTCAATGGACAGTGTCTTTCACAAATTAAAACTTTTGAGTTTTAATAAAGTATGCATTATTAACTTTTATAGATTCTACATTAGATGTTGTGCCTAAGAAGTCTTTGGATAACCAAAATCACAGAGATTTTTCTACTATAATTTTGTTTAGAATTTTTATGATTTTAAGTCTAACGTTTAGATGCATGACATATTTAGGTCAATTTTTGTATGAGGTGTAAGGTATGGGTTGAGGGATTTTGTTTATTTTTTCTTTTTTGGCATATGGATATTTAGAGCAATGGTTTGTTCCCACCAAAACTCAAGTTGGAGCTCAGTCCCAGTGCAGCAATGTTGGCGTAAAACCTTTAAGAGGTGAGGTCTAATGAAAAGTATTTGGGTCATGAGGGATCTGTCCTCAGGATAGTGAGTGAATTCTAGTTCTCCTATGACTGAATTAGTTCTTGTGAGAGCTGATCAGTTCTTGATAGAACAGGTTGTTATAAAGTGAGGTTGCCTGTCATATTTTATCTCTTTCATGATCCAATTTTCCTTCCGCTTCTTCACCATTTTTCATGCAGCTTGAAGCTCTTACCAGAAGCTGCCCAATGCAGTCACCAATCTTAACTTTCCCAGTTTCCAGAACCATGAACTAAGTAAACCTCTTTTCTTTATAAATTACCTTACCCCAGGTATTATGTTATAGCAACAGAAAGCTAAGGCATTCAGTAGCTATTTTCTTTTTTTGGAGAGGTTTTTGCTATAGGGCGCATGCACTCACCAGAAAGACTGAGAGAGACAGATAGATAGAAAGTGAGAAATCACCCCCGGGGGGATGGCCATGCCATATTCCCTTCTCTTCCATTCTCCTCCTGGGATCTTGGGAACACATACACACACGCCTGGCATGAGTTTAAGCCACTGGGTCCAGGACTTGAACTGTGGTCAACTACATGGGAGTCCAGCAACATAGCCATTATGCCAACTGCTGGTCCCATCTGTAACTATTTTCATAATGTCAGATACAAGGTGAGCAATGCCACAGTAGATGCTGCTTCTATGTTGATCAGTCACTCATCAACATTTTAGAAGCATTGATAATTTCTGTTTCCATGATTGTGACTATGAATATGATTATCTGTCCATGATCTTTCCCTCAACAGAGTTTGCTGTTTTCCAGGGTTATCTTCACTGGATTGTGAAAAACTAAAAATGATCACTCATTTTCTAGAGTCTTATTGCTTTGCAGATATGTTGGTGGGTTACTGTTCTTGGCATGAATTCATGCAACAATGACACATATACAGTGAATAGTTTTTACATGCAAGGCATTCTTCCAGATTTTCCAAGAGATACAATGATGAGCTCAAAAGCAAACACAATCCTTGTCCATATGCAGCTTATGGGTTAGTGGGAGGAAGGAGGCTAGTGGAGGTAGTCACAAACACAATGTACAATTACAAACTATATTAAGTTTTAGGTAATTGGAGGTTGAGATGAGACCATAGATTCTCTGACATATGCCCAATATATTTTATGGATTGACCCTTTTTAAAATAATTCTGTGGTCCCTAGGGAAAGGTTGTTTCTCAACTAGAAATGAAGAATTTTTCTCATCTGCTCTTGAAAGATTTGGAAAATATGATAAAGTAGCTTCAGTGACCAGTCTTGGTTATAACATGGAAAAATCAATGTCATTTTATGACTGAAAATAATAATTTAATAACTTAGAAATCATGGGTAATTTTTGTTTTCATTTCTGTATTAAGATTTATAGAGCGAGGACCAGCAGTTGGTGTAATGGCTATGTTGCTGGAGTCCCACGTAGTTGACTGCAGTTTGAGTCCTGGACCTGGTGGCTTAAACTCACGCCGGGCGTGTGTGCGTGTGTGGTCAAGATCTCTAGAGGAGAATGGAGGAGAAGGGATTGTGGCGTGGTCATCCCCCCGGGGGGTGATTTCTCGCTTTCTGTCTCTCTGTCTCTCTCTCTTTCTGGTGAACGCACACACCCTATAGCAAAACCTCTCAAAAAAAAAAAAAAAAGCAAGAGTTAATTTATGATAAAAAATGATATATTCTCTTTTTTTATAACTGATTCATCAGCAGGGTTTCCTGGTGACTCAGAATCATCACAAACAATCATCTGCTCTGAAGATTCATTTGGCCCAAAGTCCCCAGCTCTGAATGTCCCCTGGCTGTAATTTCCTGCATTCTTAAACTTACTTTTATATATGCTTCTGTTTCGTCCACTGTTGTCAGCCTTCTTGTTCTCAATGAGTTTCCCTGGAGTAGCTCTTCTATCCCTTTTCATTTCTGTCTTATCTGCAGTTATTGGGGAATAATAAATCATGTTCATTAGAGCTGTTTGGGAAGTAAGAATAGATTCTGAGAAAGAGCAGACATCTTCTCTTTCTAGCACAGTACATCAGCCTTATGAATGAATGTTTGGATATCTAATTTTGGATAATATTAACAGTTTAGTTCATCAAAAAAGTATCTTTAAATAAACAAGGTGATTAATATAAACCGGAGAGAATGGCAAGTCCATTAAAAATCTATTACATTGACACGTTGCTTTTTACTTTTTAAAGTGCTTTGTTTGCCTTCTAGCTTACTTTGCCCTCTATGTCAGAGCAGGGAGACATAACATGGATATTTTAAGGAAGCTCAGGCATAGAAATGTGAAGTGACTTACCTCAAGTTGCTTGGTGAATTGTTGACATAATTATGGCCAGAACATGGATCTCTTGACTCTCAGCTTGAAGATTTGGGAGAACAGAAAAAAAATGAAAATAGACCTCAAGAAGCAGACATTTCACCTTAACGCATATAGGTAAATTAGCAGAGGAAATCTCAAACGTTTGGGGAACAAACCTTACTTGATTGTGGGCAAATCTTAGTTTCTAGACATGCTCGAATCACCCATAAATGCACAGTGATGACTCTCTTGGCCCTTTGGATATTTTAAAGTCTTATTTTTCTCTGTCAGGGCAAATTCATCAATGACTGCCACATGGGGAAGTCGGTGAAATGTCAAGAAGAGATGGGGAATGTATATAAAGTAAGAGCTTTAAAATTAGGTTGCCATATCTGATAAACAGAAGTGCTACATGTCATGGATTTGACATTAATTTTTTCCCTTTCATTTATTTTTTATTTGTTCAACAAATATTTATTTGGTGACAGGTATTATGCTATGCCCTAAGGGTCCGAGGATCAACAAACCATGGCACCTCCCTCAAGTTGCTTGTATAGTAGGAAGAAGGGTGAGAAAAATATTCTAAAATCAGATCATAGGGTTTGTTCTACAGCTGTAAATATACTAAAATTCATTAAATTCGCACACATAAAATGGGTAAATTTCATGGTATGTAAATTTTATCTCAATAGAGTGGTTTAAAAACCAACTAAAGCATAGAATGGAGCTATGAGAAGGGTAAATTCAGAGTCTTATGAGAATTTGGGCACTGTGGACAAATTCTTGGAGACAGGAAGAGTCTTTAGAAATGATATACAAGAGGACTTCAAAAAGTTCAACAAAAAATGCAACTGGAGTACAAGAAGTTACTTTTGCCAGATAATTTGAAATCTATGTACAGTTTTTTCATAATCTGCATTTTCCACGAAGTTTTTGAAGATCCTTTGAAGAGACCTAAAAAAACGAACACGGAATACCTAGACAAAGAGTGGGAAAGATTGAACAGGGAAGCAGGAAGAACATTAGTAAATATTTGAAGGTGAGTGAAAGTTTGCGTGGTCTATATACTGAAGGAGGTAGAGTGGTTTAGTTTCACTAGAGGTCAGCTTCTGAGAGGGCGTGACGCGAATTAAGTCTGAACAGACATGCAGGAGTTAAGCATTAGGACCTTCTATATCATGAAAAGGAATTTGAAATTTATTCTGAAGCTAGTGTGAACCATCAAAGTTTCAAGATATGGGAATGTCATAAATAAATTTGTACTTTGAAAGGTTAATCTGGCTATAGTGAGGATACTTGCTAAGGAGGAGAAAGACTAGAAGTAAGGAGACCAGCATTGGAACTGATCTATAAACTCACCAAGTGATTTCAACTGTATAGATAAATTTAAAAAGGTAAAATTAGCTGGGACCAGCAGATGGCATAATGGCTGTGACGTTGGACTTCCATGTAGTCCACCATAGTTCGAGTCCCAGATCCGGTGGCTTAAACTCACATTGGGCATGTGTGCGTGTGTGCCCAAGATCCTGAGAAGAGAATGGAGAATGGCCATCCCCTGAGGGGTGATTTCTCACTTTCTGTCTCAGTCTGTCTTTCTTGTGAGCACACACACCCTATAGTGAAAACCTCTTAAAAAAAAAAAAAGGTAAAACTAGTAACTATTGTGTGTAAATTAGAAAGTACATGGTGTATGTGTGTGTTAAAATACCATGCTGAACCACACAAAAGTGTACAATGATTATATTTAAGCCAGAAAACATTAAAAATTACCCCCTAAACAAGAAGTGTTGGCAGAAAAACAGTTCATTGTATCTGGTATGCTAACAGTAATAGGTAAAGCCACTAATCAATAGGAATACATTGCCTAACACATGAAAACTGTTCAGAAGAGTTTGACTATTAATTGAGACCTTTTTTCCATTTATTTGTCTCATGATTTCAAAAAATGTTTATCTTCATTGTAATAGATTTTTATGCAGGTCATGACTAGAAATTCATAATATTAATGGGTCAAATTTTGAGAGATTTTTTTCATTTTTTTAACTGTCCAAATTTTGTAATTTCATAAAACAATACTTTTATAATCAGAAATTATTAAAACCTTAATATTAAATCAATTGCCTGCATGGTTCTTCAAAAAAATTACAGTAAAATTAGTATAAGGAAACCAATTGAAATGTCACAAAAAATTTATCCAGTGTTCAGAAATATTCTTGCATTGTTCAGAAACTACTACCTGATTTAGAAATTACATTCACATCATCAGTGAATGAATAAAGACAAGGTCTTAGGTTTGTGTCCTGGGACCTCCCTGAGCATAGAACTCTTGTAAGCCTGTGATCTAGACCAGCTGAGAGTTAGATGCACTGAAGCATGAAGACACTGTTGGGGATGCCTCTTTCTCTCTTTCTCTCCCTCATGGAAGAAATAAATGAATAAACTTAAAAAAATTAGTCATCAATTAAATGTGCGAGATGAGGAAGTTAAAGAGAAAGAATTGAGGAATGTTCCTAAGTTTTCTGTTTCTTGACTACAGAGTCAAATGTGCTATTCACTGAGAGAATGAGTAGTGGGTGAAGATCAAACTTGGAAAAGGGAGAAGGTAGTAAATTCAGCTTTGGACTTGTTTTGTTTTGGCCATAGGTGGGTACATTTGCTGGAGAGAGGCAGAGAGAGGGAAAGTGAGAAATCACCTCCCACAATCCTTTTTCCTTCATTCTCTTCTTGGAATTTGGGTACACACGCACACATACCTTGCATGATTTTCAAGCCACCAGGTCCTGTACTTGAACCTGGGGTTGGCCATGTGAGAATCTAATGCCTTAACCACCATGGCACCTGCTGGCCTCACCTTCAGACTTAAAAAAAGTTTTATTTTAGAGAGATTTTTGCTTAGGGTACATGTACTCACTGGAGAGACAGTCACAGAAAGACAGAAAGTGAGAAATCACTCCCCAGGGGGCATGGTCATACAATCCTTCTTCTCCATTCTCCTCTCAGAATTTTGGGCACACATTCACACATGCCCAGCATGAGTTTCAAGCCTCTTGATATGAGACTTGAACCCAGTCAACTACATGGGAGTCTACTGATGTAACGATTATGCCATCTGCTGGTCCCATTGTGATGACTTACTTATTGTGATTGAATGAAGTTTCTCAGACAGAGAAGAGAATATGTAGCAGAAAGAGAAAGGGCCAAGGATGAAACAGTAATGGGTATAAAAATTACTGGATAGGCAAAGTAAGAGGGAACTTGGAGGGAGATTTAGAAGAAATTTCTAGATAGGTGTGGGGGAAACAAATCATTATCCTGTCATGGAACCAAAACTGAACCAGAACACCATTTCAAGATGACCAAATGTTCAGTGTTGCTCAAATATTAAGGATTAACCTTAGAAATGAAATGAAACTTGTGTCCTGAGTTCAATGATAGTTACTTTTTTTTTCTTTTTTCCTTTTTTGGAGAGGTTTTTGCTATAGGGTGCGTGTGCTCGCCAGACAGAAAGAGACAGAGAGACAGAAAGTGAGAAATCATCCCCCAGGGGGGATGGTCACGCCACAATCCTTTCTCCTCCATTCTCCTCTCGGAATCTTGGGCATACATGCACACGCGCCCAGCATGTGTTTAAGCCACCGGGTCCAGGACTCGAACCGTGGTCAACTACGTGGGTGTCCAGCGACATAGCCATTATGCTAACTGCTGGTCCCAGTGATAGTCACTTTTGACAAGAGTAAATATAATAAAGTAAGAAGGGTCAAAACCATATTATAATAGAGTGAAGAGTAGATGAGAAATGGGAGGTGAGAGAGTAGAGGTAGCTACTATAAATGAATGCTTCAGGAAGCTCAGCTCTGAAGGACAGAGAGCTAAATGTTATCAAGTATGTGAAGAAAGGATGTTTTGTTTTTAAATAGGATGGGGAGACTACCATGGCTAGAAAATGCAGGAAGGGGTTTAGTAAAGAGGCAGGAGTTGTTAATATGAGAGGGGTTAGTCTATAAGAGTGTTAGAGAGGATGCAAACAAAAGAGTCTGTTGTTTCTGAGTAGTTGATACAGTTATCTATTCTATTGAGTGAGTTAGGAAAGTAATGAAGTGGATGGTTTGGAAAGTCAAGAAAGGCATTAAGTAGGAAAACAAAAACAAAAACAAAATTAAAACAAAAACAAAACATTGACCAGGGAACCACGGGACAACTGCTAGGCAGCAGCAGAGATGATGGATTTGTAATGATGCTAAACTGGATGTTTCCCCCCAGTAGACAAAGCCTCCCTGACATGGGAAAAAGAACGGCAACTGTTAGATTAACTTAGGGTTGGAGCACTGGCAAAGATAATTCAGAATCTTGATGGAAAATCAGAGTTTAAGTAATGCCTTACTGAATCTCAGTTGGATATATATGGAAGAGAATATATGAACAAACTGACAGGGGATTCCAGGGGTCAGATATTTCAATAAGAAGAAAAACAAGATGTCACGGGAAAAGCAGTTATAAGGGGCAGTGGTGGCATGGCTAGAAGTATGGGGCTGAGGAAATGGAAATAGAAGTTGTCAAAATTAGCAAAATAGACACATTGAGAGACCAGAGCATTGAAATAAACTCCAAGTTCTTACCCTCGCTAGCCATTTTATTCAAGCAAGGCAGTCAGTCAACAAATATTCCTTGACTGCCTAGAATAATGCCAGACACTGCAAATAGCACTGAACAAGAGGCTCTGTCTTCAAGGAGCTTATATTCCCAGTGGGCAGAGATTAAAAAGTAGGCAAATAAATAAACGAGATAATCCAGGTATCCTTAAGCACTGTGAGGGAAATAAAATATGTAAGTAATCTGAGGAGGACTGGTCCTGTGGTGCAGTGGTTAAGCCCTGTACACATAGAATGAGATCTTACCTGGCCTACTGTAGTTCGAATCCTGGCCCCAGCAGCTTCAAAAACAAGCCTGGCACATGTCCAAAATCAAGAGAGGATGGAGAAATGGAGGAAAATGGATTGCCATACAATCGCAAACCATTGAGAATGTGCGCTTTCTCTCCTTCTCTCTCCTCCACTGTCTAGTAAGAGCATATATGGTCTGACATTTAAATACAGAGAGGAGTAACTCGAATTATGGTGGTTAGGGAAGGCCTCTAAAGGGGAGATGATGTTGAGCCTGAATGATGGATGGCGGCTATTGTGTGAAGAACTAACGGCAGAATATGCCAAACAGAAGAACAAGAAGTGCCAAAGTTCTACCATAGGGCTGACCTAAGTGTGTGTAAGTGAGGAAATGAAGACCAGCCTGGTGGACTTGTAGCAAATGGCAGAGAGAGTGTTGGGATTTGAGTTCAAAGATAAGTAGGTTAGCTCATTTAGGGCCTTACATAGAAATTCAAGTGACTTTAGGTTTTGTTCTGAGTATGAGGGAAGCCACAGGCAGGTTCTAAGGGAGATACACATATTTATTTGTGCTGCTGTGAGGGAAGTAAGCTAGCAGGTCCTAAGAGTGGAGAGGGAGACCACCCAAGAAGGGCTTGCGGTCTTTGAGGTAAGAGTTAATGGTGTCCTGGGCAGGTTGTTAGTAGGGGAGATGCTGAGAAATGGTGGGAATCAGGATATATTCTAGAAATCTAATCAGGATATAAGACAGGTAAAACTTGCTAGTGGATGGGATTAGGGGAATGGAACTAAGCAAGAATAAAAAAATCACTCCTCGGATTTTGACCTGGAAAATGAATAGATCATATAATGCTATGTGTGAGGTGGAAAAATCAGTAGTTCCGTTTTAGCTATGTTAAGCCTGAGATGCCTATTCTTCATGCAAAGGTGGTATATGGAGTTAGATATTTAAGTCTGGATGGCAAGAGAATAATCAGAGCTATAGTTATAGATGTGAGTGATCTAACAAGTGTTCACAGTTGTGATACTGGGTGAGATCAGGGAGAAACTGGGAATAGGGAAACAGGAGCTCCGAGGACTGAGTCCTGAAGCGTTGCAACATTTAGGAACTTGAAAGAGGAGGGAGGTTCAGCAAAAGAGACTAAGAGCAGCAAGTGAGTCTGAAAGAAAATGAGAAACACACAGCAGCCCAGAAGCCTGGGGGAGAAAGTGTTTCAAGACTCTGATGAACCATTATCCTTCCTAATGGGGCAGGTGGTAGAGGCACACGTTGAGTAGAAACTCAGGTAATGGGATTTGGGGATTCTTCTCCCTTGTACCTTCCTCCTTTCATTATGTGTGAACCTCTGAGCTTAATATGCAGGACTGTTAAGAGTAAGCCCCAGCCCTGTGGCCCTTGCCTTTGAAGAAGGAGATCAATATATCTTATGAAAGTGGTGTGTAGACCCAGATATACTTCAAAGTAGAAAGTCACATCATTTAAAGTGCTTCAGATAAAGTGTCTTGAGGGTTTTTGTAATGTCTTTTTGATAGGAAAATTA